CCGACTCATAGTGACTCCTCCTTGGGTTTCTGAGGTGGTATCTCTATGGAAGTAGATTGTCCAGTCTTCCTTCCAAGGAGTGGCTGGTGGGTTTGAACTGCCAGCCTTCTGGTTAGCAGTTAAATGCCATAGAGCTTTTCAACTATGGAAATTCCTTTAGTTTTGGCATATTTCCTATATTCCTCATTAGATAATTTCTTTCCTTCCCTTCTTCTCTGGTATATATTTCTAAAACTATCATCTGTTCAGATGTTAGACCTTCCAGATAAATCCTTGAGTGTCCTTATTTTTTCCCTATTATCCAACTCTGTTACTTGTTTTATTTTCTAGATTTTTTTAATTTTACCTTGTATTACATTGTTCATTTCTGCTCCATTTTTAAATTTTATAGCATCTTGTTTGTATCTCAGTGATACAGAAGGCTGTTTTGATCTTGTGACGTTTTCCTCTGTTCCCTTCATGGTCTATTTCCGCCAGTACTTTCTTCTGATCTCTGTATCAATTTGGAAGATTTCTTCAAATGTCCAGTGATCTCTGGATTGTTTTCCTATGTAAGGCTGAGGCAATACATGGCTGCTCGGAAGTTCTGTTGCACAAGCTTGCTGACTATGGTCTTCTCTATAGAACAACTGGAAGGCAACCTAGTTTTTTCCTTTGTAGAACTCCTGAGCAGAATTTCACTGTGGATCTTCAAAACATTAGGGTCAGACAGATGTCTATATACTCTTGGGCTGAGATGAAGTGAGGCAATTCAACTGAGTTCCAATTTACATCTTGTGTATGCCTGGCTGGGATTAGAGTAGGGGAAGGCAAGTATATGATTTCAAATTTGCAGGCTTTCAAATAATTCCAGATATTGGCCTCGTGCCTTGCCCTATCTTCTTCCGTAGCTAATTCCAGATCTGTAATCTCTCCAGTTCAATTTCTTTAGAAAATAAATAGCCAGTCTATGTTTCACTGGGGTGAGCACAGGAACTGATGTGGTAGGACAAGGCTTGCTACCCAGTTGCAAGTTATATTAATGTAAAAGTGGCAAATGAACCACTGAAAGGAAATGGAAAATATAGGGTGGCATAAATCGGGGAACTGAAGTATATAATAGTGGGCACTTAAAAAACTGGCTCATGATGTTGAGGAATACAAAACCACATCCCTTTCTAATACCATGTATAAAGTGAATTACAGGGAGGGAGGGGGCCCAGCCATTCTGTATTCAGACTTGAAATAGAATTCCTCTTTTCAGGTCTATACCATGCTCATCCTGACTTTCCCTAGTACTTGGCAGTGCCATGGCTGAGCCCTTTCAGAGTTCTGAGGGCTGAGCTGCCTTGCTTTTCCCTCAGTAGTTCCCTCTGCAGGCTCCAGAGATACACACCTTTCCTCTCTGCAAAGCCAGGAATCAGTTCTTTATCTGCTTTCTATCTTCCAAAGATCTCAATATTCTTTTCCCACTGTTGTTTTCTTCTCTGGTATCTTTGTCCTTAAAAGTTTGTATTTGTTTTATTCCTTTACTATAACAGTAGCAGGGCTTTGGAGAAAATAGAAATAAACTTAAGTTCAATCTGCTAGTTTACATGGAAATCAAATGAAGTTAAATTTGGTCCTAAAATGCTAGGTCTGTAACTTGAAGCCCCATTCCCTGTTAATTCACCTTCCTGATAGTAAGTTCCTGGGTGGTACCAACAGTTAATGTGCTCAGCTGCATTAATCAAGTCCACCCAGAGGGACCTCAGAATAAAGGCCCAGTGACTGACTTCCAAAAAACCAGCCACTGAAACCAGCACAGTTCTACAGTGACACACAAGGGAGCCATGAGTCAGAATCGACTCGATGGCAACTGTTTTAACAGTGACCGCCCACTTGTCGAATAGAACATTCTCTGTGTAGGGCAGAACCTGCTTTTTCATCCGCTTGCCCAACCACTCTGGCTGGGTGCCTCTACTGACTCTTTTTATGATGCTTTGGAAACTATTATATTACCTTCTCCACCTCGAAGGGCATGTCTAGTCTCAGGTCGCAGATGTCCTGGATGGAATTTGTTTCATTTTCAAGCTGGGCTTTAACATAAAAGTTAAATGTAATTTGGAATGAAGGTAACAGTCATTTTTTCAAAGACATTAACTGAGGGCCTATTATGTACCAGTCACTGGGGACACAAAAACAGAACTATATGGTCATACAAGTTGCCCACCAAGTTAGTCTCAAAGCATCTTGTAACGGAGAATCCCCATCTGAGTCACAGAACACAGAAGATGGTTCCAGTGACTACTGTCTTCATTCTCCCCAAATGGTGTGTAACTAGCACCATGCTGGATGCATGGGAGAGAAGTTAATTCACTTCCACAACAGATGCCATGGAGTGTAAGTCCACTTAACAGAACTCCTATTGAAAAATAGCTGATCACAGAGTGACAAACAGCCAGATAGTTAAAATAATCTGATAAGCACAATGATAAAAGATATGTACCAATTCACTATAGTGATACTATTTTAAAAAACTCTTTAATAAAATCAGTAATTATCTAGCAAAAATCTGTAAAAGCTTCTTAGCACTGGGTAAACCTTATAACATAATTTTTATAAATTTATTTTTAAAAACTTAGTTATTTTTAGGAAAGACTATGTGGTAGTGAAAGGCACGTTACGACATGATTATCATTAAGCCGCTAAAATTTATGGAATGTTTACTATGTAGCAGACACTATTCAGATCAGTTAACATGTATCATTTCCTTTAATCCTCATAATCCTACCTCACAGGGGTACTATTCTTATTTTGCAAATGAGAAAACAGGGGCTTAGAAAGGTTAAGTGACTTGCTTAAGGTCAAATAAGTTAAGACACAGTAGAGACAATTCAAACCTAGTCTGTCTGATTTTAGAACCTAAGCTTCCAAGTGACCAAATATTCTCTCTCCTGGTAAAAATCATATAAAAGTTATGGTCTGTTATAAGTTCTAACATGGAGTATTATAGATATGGGGGAAAGATAAAGTCTGTATGGAACGTAAATAAACAAGCATACAAAACCCAAATCTTATATTCTGAATAAAAAAAGGAAACAGAAGAGGTATGTACACCCAAATATAAGGGGATATTTAAAGGCGTGTTTTTAAAATATATTTAAATATACTGAACAAAGTAAAATGTCTAGCTAAATGACCAAAATTTTTTAACTCAAGAAGATAAAAGAACTCTAAGGAAGCAAGCATTAACAAAGAACCAAGAACTAGCTCAAAATTTCATTTTTTAATTTTTTTTTTTTAGAACTGTATTGTAGACTTTTCTCTTTTTTTCCCCCTTAAACAGCAATATATACAGTGCAAGGAGGGAGCTCTAAGTGACTCAGTAGTTAGTTTGGCTGCTAACCAAAAGGTCAGCAGTTCAACCCTACCAGCCACTCTGCCGAAGATGAAGAAGCAGTCTGCTTCTGTAAAGACTGACAGCCTTGGAAAGCCTATGGGGGCAGTGCTACTCTGTACTATAGGCACGTTATGAGTTGGAACTGACTCCATGGCAGTCGGTTTAGTTTTGGTTTTTATACCCAATACACTTTGGTTTCTTGTTATTTAAATTTGTCAAAAAAGAAAAACAATCTGAGAAAATTATACCTTTTCAGAAATGTTGCAATCTTCAAATTTTTCTATAGAGGTATTTCCTGGTAACTTGGCTTTTACAGAGTAAACAAACAGTGGTCACTCACGTGTACCAATGCCTCCAGCTGAGAACCCTTCCCATTTTATTACTGACACTGTTACTTAACTGGGGCTCCCCGCCCCCCATCTTCAAAGCCCTATTAATTTGTTGAAGTAGCAACACAAAAAGTATTATTCTCAAGTTAGAAAAACCACTTAGCTTTCTGTATTTAAATCCATGTCTTTTTACCTACACCATCAACATTCTCCTCTAATTGGTGATTTCTAATGTTGTTTAAGCAAATATGCATTGTTGTTGTTGTTATGTGCCATCCAATTGGACCCGACTTATAATGACCCCTCCTTGGGTTTCCGAGGCAGTATCACTACAGAAGTAGATTGCCCAACCTTCCTTCTGAGGAGTGGATGATGGGTTTGAACTGCCAGCCTTCTGGTTAGCAGTCAAATGCCTTAGGCACTATGCATTAGCTAAATTAAATTTCTCAAGTAATCTCATGTTAAAAGCTTGCTTTCTTTTTAATACATGTGGTCATAGAGAGCTAAGTATATGTTCTGTCCAAATAAGTATATATTCTGTCAAAACAGCAAACTCCCTCATCTTCCCAGGAAGGCATCTTTGCGGCTCTGATATACTAACTCTGACACTCTCTGACAGAGATTTAACAACTTATATAGTGCAACTTCCATATACTCATCTGCCTGTAACACAGAAGACGTGCTGTCCTAAGTGAGGGATTTTATTGTCATTCAGGAGGAGGCGCCTGATGAACCTCATGCTCACTGTGCCTTACTCACTGTAGGCTTGTTGTATAGCTTGAACCTGAAAGTAAGATACAGGATATTTTTTCATGTAAACTTGATGCCCTGCCCAAAACTCTCAGTCAAATCAGTTCATATCCAAATGTCTCTATTTTCATTTTCATAGTGATTTTTTTGAGAGGGTAATGAGTTTTCATTCTTATTCTAACATTTAAGCATCAACAGGTACTGCATATGAGAATTTAAGTTATCCAAGGAGCACTTCATCAAGAATTACCTTAAAATCTGGGGCTAATTCCAAACTTGGGGGAAGAGAGCATATAGGTTAGTGGTATCTGGGTATATATTCCCATACTCCTTACATTAGGGAAGAAAGAGTGTCAAGTTTCATCTAATGTGCTTAGTCACTAGCTTTGAATGCTTGGTTTTGATACTCAATGAAAAGCCACATGAATGCTGACCCTTGATTCTGTCTCAGATGCCAAAACAATGGGTTAAAAAACACTCCTGATCCTATCACACATGGGTTGTATTCTCAATTTAGAAGACCAATGTAATTCTAAAATTAAAAAATCAGCGTTTCATACCTTGTGCAAGCATATTAAATTCCAAGAACAGTGCTATGTGGTAAAGCTCCATGGCTTCTTCTGCCCTGGTCATGCTTGGCTTCCCTGCAACAAGAGCCTGGACTTCACTGAGACTCCCCACGGTGGGGCTACAGTGCAGAACGGAGAGGTCCACCACGTCAGTATACATACAGTGTAATATAACTTTCGCATATTTTTTTGGTATGATGGATTCATCTAATATAATTCTTGTGGGAGTCCTCAAAGTTCGGTCTGTGATTTCTTCACCAGTCCGTATCCTCCTTTGTAATAAATTCCGAAAAAATGGAGAACGTGCTGAAATAATAGCCTTGTGAGCTTTGAGCTCTTCATCTAAGCAGTTCTGATTGCCACCAAAAGCTTCAACCAGTTCAGAGTCTGAAGAAAAACTAAGGACAACATCATAATAGCACATGTAATCAAAGAGCCCACGCATATCTACATCAAGGGAATTTGGTGTTCCAAATTCTTCACTAAGCTGAACTAGGATATCGACGTTTTGAAACCTTGAATCCTCCATTCCAAACTCTCCTGTATAAAGGTAGTGTAACAAAGCAGAAAACATAGGCATATCTATACCAGCTGTATTGATGTCCATTATTATCTCTGCTCCATACTCGGGTGAGGAAGAAAGCAGGGTTTTAAAAAACGGACACCTTGCTGCCAAAATGGCACGATGAACAGGAAAACAAGTTTCTTGAAATATTAAGTCTACATCAGTACAATACTTGTACTCATAAAGATCGGCCATATCTTTCTGCAATGTCCGTGCTTCCGGCCTAGCCAAACTGGCCTGTAGAGACAGCTCCTTTAAGGCTGAAGTTCCCTCATATTCCTCCACTAATGCATTGACATCTCTAACATCCCACCCAGAGAGGAGTTCTCGCATCTGCTTGGAGTGATCAGCAGACCTGTTAGACTTTCGACGCTTAATAAACTTCTTTTTGAGGGTGGCAAGGCCAGAGGTTCTCTTTTTTTTGTCCTGTGGCTTCTCATGGCCATGGTCAAGGCTATACAATTTTGATTCACACCCATAGCCTTGCTGAGAATAGGATGATGTTCCTAAGAAGAAAATGAAACAAATAAAAATTTGTTATTTTTCTGTAGCCTTCATTTGCAACACTCATTTTAATATATTTTCATGCTAAAAAAATTTGCAAACACACGTTGCTGAACCACTGAAATAAAACTGACTTGTTTTTGTAAAGGAAGATAAAATGTTCTAATAACTCGATTTTACATTAAACAAGAAGTAGGGGCAGAGCAGAGTATTCTGAATTTAGTTCTCTGGCCATCAGGGGCCAGATTTCACGGATCTTAATCTTGGATTTTTAGGAAATGAGAGCTAGACAGATTTCTAAATTATGATTACTTGTATTTAATCGGGAAATGTTTTTTTTCTTCTTCTTATCTACACCAATGATGCACGTGTATGGGCAAAATAAATGGACCAGGACACCAGAAACACAGGTGTCACTGTTTCCACACCAACAGAGACTGCTACTGTGGCTACAGTCATTGGCCATTACGGTCAACGTAATAAAGCAAAACAATCAAAGGTGCTATTGCCATTTGGTTAGGATAAATATCCTAAAACCCAGATCTACACTTGTTGGGGGGAAAATCTAAAATTATTATTAGAATTATTATCGCTAATATCTTTTCCACAGCTCAATTATCTTTTCACCAACAAAGACCATGGGAAACACAGTTCAACTTATATTCACAAAAGAAAATAAAGTGAGAAAAACTGAGGAATTACCTATAAATGTCTGCTGGGCTTGTGAATTCGCCCCTACCCTCGGGGAACATGAGTGAGGATAGTTAGATGCATTAGCGCCCATTTTCCTCAGTCACTCAGGCACTCCATTGGCTGGGTCTTCAGAACGTAATCCCAGACACCTTTGCGAACCTTCAACCCTGGATCCAGCAGCCTCTTTTCATCCATTTCTTGATATAAAACAAAAATAATTTTATTAATTTTTTCAAATGTATCTCAAATCACACAGTTAAAAAGAAAAGGGGTGGGGGACAAAACAAGCAACCTACTGAAAATGCTTTTATTTGCAAATAATGACATTCTGTCGAATTCACTTCAGGAACGGTAAGCAAATATTTGAACCAGAATTAGGAATCTGTGTTAAATGGAATTTTTAACTCCAATTATATACTTTCAGAGACAATAAAAAGTAACAGATTAATATAAACAGTTATAGCAAGGGTATTTTAAGTCACAGGGAAAGGTATTTGGGATAAAAGGAAATATTTAAATTTTTCTGTTTAATTCTTAAAACACAACTACCACCTCTAATTTAACATTCTGAGAAATCTACAAACACTTAAGCAGTACCATCAGTAGTACACATACAAAGAGCAGATAATTAAGTGATAGGTTTGCTGTTTTTCTGCCTTACATACAATTGTTTAAACTGATCTCAAATCTGTTTAACTGGGCATTTTACTTAAAGAGGAAAGAAAGAGATGGTCAAAACTAAAGTATCTTGGGCTACTTGTTCTATCGTAATTTTGACAGAAGTTACTATAACTACATTGAAGCACAAGGAAAAACAGACATTTTTAATCTATTCTCCCTGTAAAGCCCTGAAATAAAAACAATGCTTTCTACACCTGATAAAGTGACTTTACATGGACAGGGCAGTCTCAGTGAGAGAGGATCTGACACTTACAAATTACAGATTCAATTCTGTACCACAGAACCTTAACTCTGAGATCCATATGCACAAGGAGTAGAAACTGTAGGGACCTAACAGAAAGAACAGTGTTACGAGAAACACTTCTAAATCCATACACCATCTGGATAGATAAAATTTATCTGTCTAAAAAAGATAAAAGAGAAAACACAATTTAAAATCTGTTATTGGAATTGTTAGGAAACCAATCAGTAGGCAGTTCGCCTAACTTCATAATGAAGGATGAAGCATTTTAACAAATGAAGTCTCACACACATTCACACACTTACTCACACACTCACTCACTCCTTTCCCCCCCTCCCCCTTCTTTTACTCTCTCTCTCACTCACTCACTAAAAACCCTGCTAGAAAACAGAACTTTTTTAGGATTTATTTTCATCCCTGTTATTGACACAGCATAACTTTAAGAATTAAGAAAAATAAGAAACCTTAGTTTAGGAAAACCAGTTAACATTTTGTGCTTTGCTCCAATCTTTTCCCACTATATGTAACACCAAAAACAACCTCATCAGCTGGTTCTGACTCATAGTGACCCTATAGACAATAGAATGCACCACAGGGTTTCCAAGGCTGTCATCTTTACAGAAGCAGACTGCCACATCTTTCACCCTTGCAGTGGCTGGTGGGTTCCAATCGCTGACTTTTTGGTTGGCAGCTAAGTGTTTTAACCACTGTGCAACCATACTACTAATGTAATTTCTTAGAAAGCTAATATGCTGTCCATGAAGTGAGTCATTTATATTGACAAAATATATTTTTACGGATGGACTACAGGCCACGTAGTTATTCCAATAGGGTTTTGCCCTATCAGGTGCAGGTATAACCTGCCATCCTAAGATGATCACTGAAGACTGGGTGCTACAGTAAAGTATGGTGAAGAGATGAGATGGTGCCGGGATATCAAAAAGGATAATGTCTGAGGTCTTAAAAGCTTGTTCTAAAACAAGCAGCCATCCAAAAGAGCCATCAAACAGTCTGTGCGGAAGAAAGCACACCAACCTAAGTGTGAGCAAAGGATTTTAAGTAAAATCCATGAACAAAAAAGGAAATGTATAAATCAAAAACCAAACCCACTGCCACTGACCGAGTCGATTCTGACTCACAGTGACACCCCCCACACTGGGTCTCCAAAGTGGTAGATCTTCAAGCAAGCAGCTAATGGGTTTGAATCACCAACCTTCTGGTTAGCAGTCAAATACCCTAGAAACACTGTGCCACTGAGTTTGTGGAAGGCAGTGGTCTACCGTGGGAGCCCTAACTCCATTCTGAGCCTTGACACAGATTCAGAGACCAGCTGAGTTCTTTCTGACCTTCAACACTGAAGTCAGGCATGGACAAATTCTAGGGCTCATCTAGGGAGGAGTGGTTTGCCTTCAGGAAGTATGTGGTAGAAAGTAGATTATGCTCACACAAAGAACTAGGGAAACTGCCTGAGTGTGCCCTTTCCTAATTTAAATTAAGGCGGGGGTTTTGATATTGTTTTATAGCCACCTTGTGGCTAGACCCAGGCTACAGGGTTCTGAGTCATATCCAGACCACCACTTAGCCAGGTAGTCAAGGCCCAGAACCAATACCAGAACCCCGTTTTATCTTCCATTTATGTGCATATCCCTTATCCCAACCCTGGAGCTCTGGTAGCGTAGTGCCTAAGGCATCTGACTGCTGACCAGAAGGCTGGCAGTTCAAACCC